TCTCTCTCTCTCTCTCTCATTTCCTCGAGCTCTCATGTCATCACTCTCGTCATCCTCATCATCAGCCTCGTCATCGTCCTCCGCCAATCACTCAGCCCAGTCTACTCATCGCTGTTCGCCCTTCGTCAGCATTCCTCACCGCTCCATTCCCTTCCCTTCCACTCCACCACCGCACACAGCAATACCTTTTTTGTACATTTTAACCCACTTTTTCTACAATCCGCTTTTCGTTTTTTTTCTCTTTTTACACCGTTCTATTCTCGTGTCCTACTCTCAGGTCCACGAGTTAGCTCTTATTAATAAATAATATAATCTGTCTCTATACAAAAAGAAGATAAGTTTATTCTTGAAAAATTGATTTANACGAGTTAGCTCTTATTAATAAATAATATAATCTGTCTCTATACAAAAAGAAATTAAGTTTATTCTTGAAAAATTGATTTAACTTTTTATAAATGGAAATCAGAGAAGAGGGGTGAATGAAGTTGAGAGAAGAAAAAATACACAAACTGTGTGGTGGTGGTGGTAGTGGTGATTCAAAGGTATTTGTTGTGTCTGTAGAGTGTGGTGATAATTGAGAGAGAGAAAGAGTTGTAGCTGGTGTGAATAGAGATAATAGTAAATAGGTGATAGTGGTGACGAGGAAAAGAAAGAGAGAGAAGGGGATCAGGTGAAATGAGATTGGTAAAAAAAATAGCTTTAGTTGTCGTCATCCATCACCTCTGGCAAATCGTGAGGATTGATTATGCCAGGCACAGACAGTTGAACACGACGCTTATCTTCCTCCTTCTTTTTCAACTCTGATTCACGTTCATCGAGGAACAGATCACTATCGTCTTGTCCGGAAAACTCCTGCAAATTAGAAATCACAAAATGTAAGTCATAAAGCAAAAAACAAGAGCACCACTTTCACCACTTACCCTGATTTGAACCAAAAAGTCTCGCAGGTGCTCTTTGAAGGCGACCACATCCTGGTCGAGGTTGAAGAAGCCCTGGACGGTGATTTTGATTTGCGCTTCGGAGAGGTGGCTGAATGCACCCTTCAGCAGATCGGAAACAAAGTCCTGCACGTACTGCACATTGTTCTGTCCCTTGGCCGTCTGAACGGTGGGATTCAGCGGCACGGTGATCTTCCCTGACTCGACGATGAAGAACATGTACGCGAGAATGTTGGCCTGCATCGTCAGACCGGCGGTGTGCGAGGTGTCCGTCACCACTGAGAACATGTGCTGCATAATGTCGGTGTAGTACGTCTGGTAGAACATGTTCGAGTACACGACGTCCTCCTTGCTCATGTTCTCCAGGAGGTTGAAGAGAATGCGCAGTCCGGTGTCGGCAACGTTGCGCATGGTGTGCTTAAATGCCCAGATGATGGAGTCCAGTATGAGCTTGAATTGAGCCGGAACGATGTTTAGCAGCGAGGAGAAGCAGTAGGTGACCACCTGCTGCAGGAGGATGTAAAAGTTGGTTCGATGTTCAGGGTACTCCTGAAAGTCCTTGTTGATCATGTCGAGGGTGCACTCGAAGACGGCATCGAAAATGGCGGGAATTTGAGTGGTAATGTTACTCTACAGATATATTAAAAAGAAACAGAATTAAAATAAAGTAAATCTGGGATGTGGTCATTGCTAAAGCATACCTCGAGTTTCTTGACAACCGTCGACATGGTTGAAAGAACCTCTGGCTCTCGGGCAGAAGGCACTGTACAGTTTTTGTAGTCGAAAAGAATGGCGTCGAGCAGCTTGGGAATAAATGACGTCAAGACCACTTTGTAGTCGTTAGTGTGCGACACCCACTCGTTGATCAACTTGAGGATCTCCTTCTTCACGCCTCGCATCGAGCGAATAATAGGCTGCTTCATGACGTTCTCGCCATTCTTGGTGATGGCAGTGGTAATGTTATCACTCATTACCTTGTAGAGGACGAGCATGTCCAGGTAGATGATCCTCAGCTGGGCAATGTAACTGTGTCCGAGGGCTTTGCAAGCGTGGTAGTTGGTCTTGATGATGTTGTCCAGCTGCTTGACGGTCGCCTGGTCAGTCAGCACATCGACGCTGGTCGACGCCTTTCGAATGATGTCGTTCCACACCTGATTCGGCAAGGACATGTAGTTTCGAATCAGCTGCTCTTGAAGTTTCTCGTCGTTCTGTGCGCTAATCATGTATCCGACAGCTTCGTAAAATGTGTGGATCTATAAGAATAAAAGACTCAGTAAGTACTGCAAAGAACTTTGACATTAGATAGTAAAGTTGTACCTGTTGTGGCTGAAGTTGATTAATACAGGTGGCCATATTCTCCAGAATCTCGTCGATAAAGGGTGTAACTTCGCCTGCCTGCACGGTGACAAAGTGTCGCCGGCATTTGTTTGCAATCTTGATGAACGTGTCGCACGCCATATCCTGAACACCATCGTGTGTTTCTGCCAGAATAAAAGGGGAAGCCGCATTAAATATCACTCACTTTACAGCATCTTTTCATTGAAAGACACTTACCGTGCATAAACTCAAACAACTTGTTGACGACTGTCTTTAAAAACTTCCAGTGCGCCCGAAGGAATCGCGGGTACTGGCCGACGACGTACATGATGTTCGAGGCAATGATGGCCTTGTTGTCCTTGCCTCGCTTCTGCTCGCACAGGCCCAGTAGCTCCTTGATGACGGTGACTAGAAATTTACGCTCCTCATCTTCCAGCATAGCACCACTGATGGAGCCAATGGCCCAACACAGCTACGCATTTACAAAAATGACAGTTAATTACCTAGAATACCTAGAAAGAGTGGTCCTTTTTACTAAACTTACCGTGTTCAGGTTCTTCCACGACCACTCAGTTCCGTCGACCTGTCTCTTCAGCTTATCATTCATAATGTTTTCAGTGTCAGATGAGTTCAGATGGGTAAGATAGACGAGCGTCTCGCGCATGTTGGTGTACAGTTGAATGGAGTCAGTGTCCTTCATGAACTCTCTAACGACCTCTCCCTGGTCATTCTCCACGACGAGCACTTCCTCTGGCTTGGCCATTCGACCAATCATAATGTAGCGCAGTTTAGAGAGCATCTCCTCGTAGATGAGACGGCGCATCGGCACGACAGCATTGCCCACGACACGGTCGTCCAGCGGACACTCCTTGTACAGTTGCTCGGCCAGAGAGCCCCAGTACTCCAGGCAAATCTTGAACACTTCAACGTCTTCCACTTCTGAAATCATAATCAGGTAGTAAACGGCCATCAACAGCTTCTTTCGGTGATTCTCCTGCTCAAACAGCAAGCCGCGCTTTTTCAACAGCGTACACAGGAACAAGCTAAGATTTTGAATAAAGTTTTGGTCATGTTCACTGCCAGATTCGTAAAGCTGTTTGACGTTTGATGGCATTGAAAGGTACTGCAAGAAAAGTATATAATTAATGTTTTAGTAAATAGAAATTAGTGCAGTATAGTACCTTCGGAAGTTGATCCATGAAATTCTCAAACATGAAACAGTAGACTGTGTCATATTGATCAGTGTCGATGTTGGCAATTTCAGTGAGACACTTTAGGGTGATGTTACGGAAGAGCGGATAAGGAAAAAACTAAAAAGAAAGCAGAACTATTAGCACTTATANAATGTTGGCAATTTCAGTGAGACATTTTAGGGTGATGTTACGGAAGAGCGGATAAGGAAAAAACTAAAAATAAAGCAGAACTATTAGCACTTATCGTTCGCAGTTTAAGAGTTACAAACCTTAAAAACTAGTGCATTTATGAGACCAGTTTCGAAGATGTAGCCAAGGGGAATCCAGTTGAAAAACCTCAACAAAGTCTCTAAGGTGCAGCTGATGAGTTTTTCGTTGCGAGAGTCTTCCAGAACAAACTGGCAGAGAGAAAAGACTTCGCGAAACTGCTGACACATTGTGTCCTTGAGATGCTTGGACTTGGCTTGTGTCAGCTGTCCAGTAGAGAAATCAAAAAGCTCCTCGCTGTAAAGAAAAGGTCAACACTTAAAATCAGCAAAAAAGTTAATAAATCATTCACAAACCTAAGAAGTTTCAGAATTGTCATGTTATTAATACAAAGAGGCTCGCTTTTCTTGCTAGCCCCGCAGATGTCAGAGATGAAACCAGGCCACTTCTTGGGCCAGTCTTGCTTTAGAATTTGGACGAGGATCATGTTCAATTTGTTGAGATACACTTTGTCAATCTCATTAGTGATTGGATTTGTGGAAGTTTTGATGATTAGCGCAACGATAAACTTCTTAATGTTCTCACACTGGTGCTCGGGAAGGACCTTCCATCGAGTTTTGATGAGGTTTTCGAGAATCTGAAGAGCGTAGTATTTGGTTTCTTTGTTTTTCGAAAACTCCAAAATGGCATCGACGCGAGTCCACGCGTCAGGATGCTCCTTGAAGGTGGTCAGTATCTGCTGGGCAACGTGCTGCTGTGTACCCTGTCCCGAGTACATGCAGTCGATGACGGCGTCGAGTAAGTTGATGTCCAACTTTCCGCTAAAATCGAGCAGTGATCGGGCATTCTCGATGGAGATGCTGGGCACACCGCCGATGGGAGCAATGTTATTGCTGTTGTTGTTGGCGGTGGCTGTAGGGGTGCTCCCGTTGATTTGATTCGCCACAAAGACTCCCGGGGTGGAATCCATGGAATCCATGATGGAAGGAAAATCTGGAGATAGAACTCGAGCGAACCACCACGAGTGAAGAGGGAAACGAGAGAAAGAGAAGCAGACACTGAAAACAGAAGAATGAGCGAGCAGTTCAGTTGACTGGCAGCATTGTCAGCAGCGTTCAGTTGTTTTTGCCTAGTCGACTCGAGCAGCAGCGAACACTTTCTACTGCGCAACGGTCCAACTTGCCCCCCTGGGTGGGCTCCTCCGCCCGCAAAACAGCACTTCGGGGGACGTCGCCCTTCTGTCCTTTCGAAACAGTGCAAACAAGTTGGGATTCAGGAGCAGTGGAAACTCTTTTTGCATGACCGCTAGCGCCACCTGCAACAGCATCGTCTCAACTCTCCAATGACGTCATTCGTCGAGCGCCAAAGACTGGGAAAAGAGCTTGAGTGTTGTGACTGGAATTCTGTTTGGAACGGGCAGAGGACACTTTCCGAAACTTTCAACAAAGAAGTGTTTGGTGTGATTTGTTTATCAACAGACCTAGTAATGTGCTTCACCACCACCACTGCTTCAGAAAGAGTACCTCTATCCGCCATTATCAGTGCAGAACAACCGTTAGAATCCAGACCACTATTTCATGGAAGTGGTGGTCTGGTCGTAGTGTGCCTCATTGCGCAATGCCTCCCTTATGCATAGATCACTCACTGCTCAGGCATCGTACGACAAGATGACACTGCCACTACACTGTCACTGGCTGCCTTTTTCCTTTTTTTTCATAGCTACGACTACGTTTGGGGATCTTTCCACCAAATGCTGCTGCTGCTGTGGATGATGATTATCACCAAAGCAGAGAGTGGCAAAACAGGAAGGCGAGCACTGTCCGAGCGATACTTTGGATGACCGAGGTGGTGGTGGTGGTGGTGGTGGGACAAAATAAACAGTCCCACAACGAAATGCCCCAGTGACTTTCACAGAAAATAGCACTTACTGCTATTTCCTCCCCAACATTTCCCATTTGATCGCGTGTCAGCACCTGAAGTTTGCTCAGGTGCAAAAAGGTTGCCTTTAGGAAGAGCACCCCCACCATCATTACCACCACGACCATCATCATCAACATCAACATCAGCAGTACAACAACATCATCGCCGTTCTAATCAGTGAAAGTAGACGTAGTGCTGGTGGTGCTGGTGGTGATGATGATGGCGGGGTGCTGACGTCAGAACAGGCTAGTGCACACTCCCTCTCTGGTGTCTCCTAGACAACGGCTCAAACGAGGAACCGGTTCCAGGCGGTTCCAGCGCGGTCTGTGCACGTACATCGCACACACACACCAATAGAGCACTTCAGATGAGTGGCTGCAGATGGCGAACATGGCGTCTCGGCGGGAACAGAATTACTGCGGCAAAGAAAGGAAAGAAGCGGCACTCGGCCATCTTTCGATGATGCATGGTCTCTTCACCTGACTGATCACTCCATCAGCGTGACACATCATGACCGTGTCTGCTCCTAATGACGGATGTCTTCTCCTCGTCCTCCTCTACTTTTATGAATCGTTTGTAGAGCATGTAAACGAGGGACATCGACAGCCCACAGCTTACCCGATGCGATGCACTGAGGGTGGAATGGAAATGCAGTGGTAATGCGGTGGCTGCAAATTGTCAAACAACTCAACAGAACAAACTGACAGGCAAACAACAAGAGACGGACAAAATGGTCATCACTACTAAACACACACACGCACTAAAAAGTGGCAACACTGCGACTCGCTCTGTTTCCTGAGATGTGCCCGCTGATGATTCAGCAGAAGTGTATGGTGATTGTAAAGTTTTTTTACACCACTTCTTTTTTACTTTGTATCGCACTTACGCTAAAGGAGATACTGAGAAAGGCAAACATGAACAGTGTGAGCAGGAATCGTTTCAAGAGTACCAGATAATAAAGAAAAGTTAAAAGCACTCAGCACCGGTCTGCAGAATCTCAAGCAAAATTGCAAACTTCCATTTTCCATTTCTTCTGACCTTTTGATGACTCTCTTTAAGAAGTGAATGTTTCAGCAAATCTGAGCGCACACACGTACACTAACTCCAAGTTTAGGTTCCAAATGGTGTTTCTCGTTCAGTAGAAAAATCAGCAATAAAGTGGTCTGTCTGTTTTGCTCTTTTGCACTGTCTGTTCTGAAAAGTGCTGACTAAATGGGAAAGGTGCACATCCTCTCTAGGGCAATTTCATTCTTTTCCAGCAGCACTGGGAGCAGCCGGCTACTGTTTGGCAATAAAACGGCGTTCCAGCAAAGGTGTTAGCTCTTTTTCCCCTCCTTGCCCGTCTCCTGTTCTCTCATAATTGACATGTTTTTGCGCACTCATCGGTTGCACTATACACCCGAGAAAAAATAGAAAGAGAGTTCAATTCTCCAGAAAATGTCAGATGATGCATCGATGCTCTCCTGATGATGATGATTACTCCCTGAAGGAAAGNGTGTTTACCTTAGTGAATGAAGGGCATGCCAAGGAATCTTTCAGTTTATTGGGCTACTGCTGTTGCTGAAAATGTCACTGCCTGGTATTCAAATGGGAGCAGACAGTGTTCTACTGGTGCTGGCGCTACTTCTCTACTAGTGCCACCTCTCCTCCACTCATGGCCAACCATGCCCGGCAGGCATCACCACCGCCAAAGCTTGCAAACAACCAGGCAGTAGTGTTTGAAAGAAACAAAATTGAATAGAAAATAGGATAGAAGCAGATGACAATGATATTTAGACGGCAAAGTAGAAGATCCTCTTTGGAGCAGCTCGCCTCTCTAGATCGCGCTCGGCATCTTAGAAGGCATCTGAGAGAGCATTATCGTGAATCATCGCGGGACACCGAACGAACACTGCCATTTGCATAAGTCACCAAAGTACCACACACACACTCACCAGCATTTAGTGTTTGCTGTTGTCATCGACCGCCGCAGCAGCTCCAAACGCCGAACATTGCCACCACCAAAACCATCATCGCCGCCGCCGCCATCATCATCATCGCCTCCGCTTCTTCATCTCACTGAGCTGTTTGTGTGTTCAGAGTGTTCGAAAAGTGTTCTGACGGTGCACCTTGTGACAGCGACGGTGGTGCAGCAACTACCTTCGGCGGAAAGGTATCAGCAAGTCAAATCCCCTGCCGTCTAATTTCCTGCTGACAGTGCCGCGTACCCAAGACAAACAGGCACAGACTAAGGCAATACATCGCCCTCTTTCCTCATCGCCTGCTTTCCCCAAACCGTTGACTGTAAGTGCCACCGCCGCCACCGGTGCCTGGCTGTTATTGTGCCTTGCTGAGCCTGTGTAATTCAACTGCTGAGCCCCTTCTGCTGCTGGAAGTGGTAGTAGGTGCACCATTATTCTCGCTTTCTCTCTTTCTCCCCCCATCACCGGAAAACTTTATTTCTCTCTTTTCGCACTAAGCCTCCACTCGGCAGTTTGTGCACAGCCTGTCGCGGTTATTGTCTTTGGTGGTGGTGATGGTGATGCTGCCGATGGCCTGACGGAAAATAGCGTTTCTTTAAATGCCTGTGATGGGAAGACAGTACCAGAGAAGGGGAGATAAAACAGTGAACACTGTCAAAAACAACAACAACCGGCGCCTAGGCACTCTGAGTACAAAACTAAAAAAAGCAAGTGGATACAAACACTTGGTTTGGTGGAGATGTTTATTATTATTATTCTATTAGAGACTAGATTGCCTCTGCCTGAGGGCCTAAACACACTGTACACTGTCCGAGTGTCGGACGAGTGATGGACTGCTTGTCAGGCAGCGACAGCAGCACCAGCACCAGCAACATCATTTCACTGAGCACCCTAATTAGCATCCTCTTGAGCTGCTGGCGAAGAGTGCTTATCTAGAGTGCTCTTGCTGTCCACTCGACATTGCCATTTCTGTCTTTCTCTCGGACACTCTACCCTAGATAGATGGCCAGATAGAGTGCTCTCTCGGGCGTCTCTGCGCGTTACCCCTGCGACCGAGCACACATAAAAAACTCCACTGAACTCTCTCGAAGACTTTACCGCATGAACGGTGCATGCATAATTGAGGACGCAAATCAGTGCCACAGCTGGGCTGTTGCTGCTATTGCTGCTCACTTTGTGCAGACAGTGCACTGCTTCTTTCTTCTTCTTCTGCCCGAGATAACGATCGATTGTCTTGTGTGCACTGTCTGTGTGTATGTGTGTGTGCCACAGTCGTCGCTTCGGCGAGTCGTCCAGCCGCGAGTTGCCCTTGCGATGTGAAAGCAAGCGAGAGGTAACTGAAACAAGGCAGAAAAAGAAGAAGAAGAACAGAGCGTAATTCTCGTTCTTCAGCGTTCACCTTGAACTTGACTTATCACTTGCTGCTGCTGTTGCTGTTGCTGCGGCCACTGTTGCTCTCCTTCTCTCGCTTCCTCATTCGAGTGGACTGCTCGTTTGTTCGTTGGCTCTTCGGAGGGGCACTACTCGCTCAGTCACTGGCGGTCTTTACCTTCTAACGGTGCTCACTCTAACGGTGATGCCCGTGAATTGTTAAGGTAAGGTGCAGCAGCAGCGGTCACGGTGGGTGAAATGTGCTGTGCTGTCCTGGCGAGACCTGTCTGACCCACAGACTTTCACGGCGGTAGGAGGGTGACTGAGAGGATGAGATGATGATGATGACTGCTTTCCGTGAGTGTCGACTTCTTCTTCTTCGTAGGTCAGTTGGCTTCTAGTGTCTGTTCACTTCACTTCAGTGG